GAAGATGAAGATGTAGAAGTCTAAGCCGAGATTTATGAATGTATTTTGTCAGTTTTACCTTTGAGATCACATTCTCTACCTGTAGCTATTATTCTGATCTTTCAAGGCCAAGATGAATATAACTTCAAGTTATAGCAAAATCTCCTACTAAAACTTAGCACTCCCTTCTCTGCATTTTCTCAATATCATTCCCAGAACTTTGGTTTACCCATATCATACTGTGTAAATTATTTGTATTTGCATATTCAGTGAAATTATCAAGTCTTTGAGAACAGGACCTCTATTTTATTTCATTTATTCATTTTAATGTCTTTGGGGATTAATACAGTGCCTGGCTCATTGTATACATTGTCAGTAGCCAACTAAAGCTTGGTGAATGAATCATTCTGCATATTTACGTGTGTATATTCTTCATTGTATTTCTCCAGTATGGTTCTACCCAACTGCAATTAAAATATGAACTATGAAATGGATAGAACATGGGATTAATAGTAAATAAAATTTATCAGCTACGAATTCAGTCCACCTAAACTTACTTGTCTACTTAATCTCTTTCCTCAGTAAGTACATTCTTGTTTCTGGGTCATTGTTTCAATATTTTATATTTAAAATCAGAAATCGATTTTTCTATAGCTATTTCTGGTTTATATTCTTATTAATGAAGCAGTTTTATGCTACTGAGGCAAATAAACCTACTAATAGGGTTATGCTGTGAAGCTGACTTAAGATCTGTGGAGAATTTCCAGCTGTTTATTTTTCCATCTCCCAGACAAATACAGGAATGGGTTTCCAAAGTGTATTAAGTTATAATTTCCATTTCTACATAGAAAATGGAACTACAATTTGAAAAAAAGGACTCCGTGTTTGAGCTGGCAACTGGCTGCTATATAATTATCATTGCTCTTCTTTATTAAATGCCCGCCTTTGCCTTATGTGGCGCTTTGTTGATAGAAGTAACCCCAATCTTGTTGCTATGGTGACAGTAACAGTAGCTGAGAGGATTTTGTTTGTGGTAAACAAATTCAGGCATATGCTTGAAGCCTGATGGAGCAGCTTCCCAGCTTCCCTCATGCTGCTGTCCTTGCATAAATTCAAAGAACTGCAACTAAAAAACCCAAAGCCCAGATTTGAAATGGAAAAACGGGAACCAGTCCTAGATAATCGTTTCTTATTTATCTGGGAATGTCCTGTTAGGTATGTCCATGTTCGTAAGGCAGGGCCTCCTTTGCTGGAGGGGGTTCTCTGTGCAACATCATCAAAAAATGGCCCATGGAATGAGAGAAAGCCTCAAACCCCAGGGACAGTTGGCATCAACTGCAACACTGGGGTAATGCATTAACAGAACGAGAAAAACTGTTTCTCTCTTTTTCCTCCCAAATCCTCTCTGCAAAAGCAGCCTGCCATTTTACATGTTGGAAAGAGAATTCCCGCCAAAACATGCTTTTATAAACATTGAAGTTAGACACCTTCAACCCCACTTCTTAAATTTTGAGGATCTATTAAAGTAAACCATCACTGGAAGGAGAATAGCTGTAAAGTAGATAGGTAGAATCTAGGGCAGGCTTCACTTCTCTGCACTGTGGAGAACATGTTGGTGGGTGGTATGGTTTCAGTGACCCCTGATATTCCCCATTTTTCCCTGTCTCTTGCATCTACCTCCTCAAATGTTTTCTCTGCAATTCGACAACTGAGGTCTACAATTGAGACACCAAGACCTTTCCTCTCACTCTTCTACTTTAAGGTAAGATTCTGATGGGTCAAATAATAATGAAAATTTTAAAAGCTTTAAAATATTATCAGTTATTTATGCCCAGTAGTATCACAAATTAGAGATTCTTTCTTGGTACAAAACAATAGAGGAATAAAGTAGATTACCTAGCTACACATGGTAAATCTTTCAGGAGAGAGCAGAAAGGTCACCAGCCTGAAATACCAAGAACTACTTTTTTGAACTTAGTAATAGTTCTCAAGAACTAGTAGAATCCTGATGTACTTGCTCATTATTTTCAACAGTAGTAAAAAAACCCTCTCAGGTTCCCCAGTCCTTAAATGCCTAGCTCTACTGAAAGGGGGACTTTAACACAGCAATATAGGAAGCCAATTTTCAATCCCTCAAACACAATTAAACTTCCTGCTAAAGATTTTCTTGTGTTTTAACCTTTTATTCAGATGTTTGTCTGATAGGCCCACAGTAAGAATATAATGCCATAGGGTTAGATGTAGCTCATCAATTCATGTCCTCCAATGAAGGGTCTGGGGATGGTGGGGTGGACAGAATAGGCCAACATTAAAGTGATTTCTCTGCTAAGAACATTAATCAACATACCATTGGTTAGTGTGGGGTATTTGTTATGATTTATCTGTGTAAGTTACCAAAACCAAAAAAAAATAAAAAGTTATGTTTTTATAAGAATCCTGAAATTAAACAGTAGTAATAATATTTTTTAAAAAATAGTATAGTTTTACAATGTAAAACAATTTTCTCTTTAATAAGATAAAAACTGTCAAAGGCATAATAATGAATAAGAAAGATAACTCAGTTGAGATATTTGATACTATTGCCTACACTCAGATTTGCTATCTTTTTAGTCATGTAGCATATGTGTTTGTGTCTATTGATGTCCTAATTCTGTTTCTGAGACCTTCACCCAACACATTTACCTTCTTAACTGCTAGTCCCTAGGGTCCTCCTATTCCTCTATAATTGCTCAAATACTGTTTAGATACACACACACACACACACACACACACACACACACACACACACACACGCCTCCTCTCCAGTTGTGCCATGCCCTAACTCATGATAGAGGTTCTTCTTTTCTTGCTATAACATTTCATTCAACCACTCACCATTATGACTCCTCATTATTATACTGCTGAATGGGTGAATGAGAATTTTGGCAAACATCATGTCTTTTTTTCTTCATGATTACCAGTTAAAAGATTGGTACTACTCCTCATGTGTCTGAAGGAGAAGCTGGGCATGGAAGGGTCACACAGATCCAGGAGCCACAATTTGAACTCATGTTTGACTACACAGTTTATGTTCTAATTACAACACTAAGAGGTTCTTTAGGAAAAATGCTTTGTTTCTAAGCAGTGAAACTATTCTGTATGATATTATAATGGTGGATACACGATATACACATTGTTCAGTACCAAGAACTATATAATACAAAAAATGAACCCTAATGTGAACTAAACTTTAGTTAATAGTAATGTATCAATCTTTGTTCATCAATTATAACAGATGTACCACACTAAAGAAAGATGTTAGTAACTGGGAAAACTGGGAATGAGGAGGGATATAGAATTGTATTTTCTGATCAATTTTCTGTATATCTAAAACCGCTGTAAAAATAAAAGTCTATTAATTAAAGCTGAAAAGGGGGCAGGGTAAGAGAAGGTGTTATTCCAAATGAAGTGGAAAATGGAAGGGTGTCAGCAGTTGAAGGTAAGGGGGTTGGGCTCCTCCAAGTCCCCTTAGTTATTCCTCTATCTCCAAGAGTGTTCGGATTATCACGTCCACCCATATAAACCAGCCATCTGGACTATGAAGTGAATTGTATTCAAAGAGTCTTGTAAAGGTAAGAAGAATGGACACCCTTCCATCTACCTCCCCACTCAAAACAAACCAATTTGACTATGCTTCAGTTTCTGTAAAATGCACAGATGTGCTAGAATTCAGCTATCTCCCCAGGGAGCACTAAAGTGCTGTTCTGAAGTATTTCAAGACTGGAGCATCCCAGGGCCTGGCACAGGGCCTGGGACACAAGGGAGAAGATAAAGCACAAATGGAAAAGCAGTATTATTGGGAAATTGTAGTTTAACACGTGACAGGCACTCCCTCCCTTGTCTCCTTAAGATTTCTTCCATATTGCTTTCAGAATCCCTGTGTCATGATATCCAGGGCATACCTGCCCCTTCCTTTCTCTACACATTGATTCTCTCTTCCATCCTAGTGTAGGAGGGAGATGAGGTGAAGGTCCTATGTGTCTTCTTCAACAGAAACTGTGCATTAGTTTTCCAACACTTTGTCAGCCCCAATGCCAGCATCACCACCACCTCCAGAGTGTTCATGTCTTTTGGAGCTCAATGCAAATCTACCTTCTGAAATGCATTCCTGATAGTCACCTTCACCCCTTCTTTCAACTTTTCACTGAACACTTCAGCTGGACATCTCAGAGTTCAGAACTTGATCACATGCTGCTGTATTGTATATTGTACTTGCAATTTACAATCTTGCCTAATTTAAAAAAATCTACATATTTATATCTGTATACCTGTCTAATCCTGAAGACAGGACTTTTCCTTTTACATCCATTGAATCGCCTCTCCTATCCATCTTCAACTATTACCACTGTGTGTTGGTTGAAGACAAAACAATTATGTTGGAGATGCAAAACAAAGAACTTAGAAGCCCTCTGTGTGCCTTCTTTCCTTTTTTTTTCTTTTTTCCAAAATTTATTTGGTATTTTAGTTGGTATGACACTTAGGTGGCTGCATTGTCTTTTTACATTATATGGCCATGTACACTATATTCTGACATACATGGTACACAAAGTAAGATCCTTTAGGACAGTTATGCACAATACACGCAATATTGAATTTATACATTGGATCCCAGAATGTGACTGACTGGAAAAGATGGACTAGGCATGTCAGGTGTTGGGGGAAGGAACCCGAAGTGACAGAACACACAGTAAACACACATCTGGTGTGCAGAGCAACCGCAGCTCTGGCAGTGGAGCCTCTGAGACGGTGGGGCTAACTTACGTTAACCAATTTAGGGCTACAAAGACAGGTATCATCCAGTACCAGGATAGAGCTGCAGGGTTTGGTGAACCATTCCTATTTGGAACTTTAGGAAACTGACGTTTTTTCTTAGGCCACTTTAGTATTACTTGAGTAACAGATCAGATAATAAGGACAATATACACAACCTCCAACTAAAATCCGGCTATAGTCTAGACAGTGAAGTGGTACATTAGAAAACTTTAAAACTGCAGCTCCTTTTGGATCCCCCAAAGTGTATCTGCACTCTTCTTCAAATGGGCCTCCTCCTCAGAAGTCAGAGTCACCTTCACAACATCTGAAATTCCATTCTGTCCCAAGATGCAAGGGACACTAAGGAAGACATCATCTTTAATTCCATAGAGACCCTTAATCATGGTGGAAATTGGATGCACCTGCCTAAGATTCTTCATTATACTTTCAGCCAGATCTGCCACAGACAGTCCAATGGCCCAGGAGGTGTAGCCTTTCAGTTTGATCACCTCATAGGCACTGTCAACCACCTGTTTGTGAACCTCTTTCCACTGTTCCTTATATGCATCAGTGCCTAAGTCAGGGTGCAGATTCTTCAGAGAGACACCAGCAACGTTCACTCCACTCCATACAGGCACACTGGAGTCTCCATGCTCCCCAAGGACCCACCCGTGACAGCTTAATGCGTGAACTCCCAGTCTTTCCCCCATTAGGTAACGGAACTGGGCTGAATCCAGATTGCAACCACTTCTAATAACACGGTTTTTGGGAAAGCCACTTATCTTCCAAGCCACATAGGTCAAGATATCCTCTGGATTGGAAACGACAAGCAACTTGCAGTTTGGGCTGTATTTTACGATATTAGGAATGATGAACTTAAAGATGTTCACGTTATGCTGGACCAAATTAAGACGGCTTTCTCCCTCTTGCTGACATGCCCCAGCTGTGATAATAACCAGCTTGGAGTTTGCAGTCACATTATAATCTTTGCCAGAGACAATTTTTGGTGTTCTAAGGAAAAGGCTGCCGTGCTGGAGATCCATCATCTCTCCCTTCAGTTTGTCTTCCACGACATCAACAAGAGCAAGTTCATCTGCCAAGTCCTTCATTAAGATACTGATGGCACAAGCCATGCCAACAGCACCAACCCCAACAACTGTGATCCTATTCTGGGGGGTATGTTCTTCCTTAAGAAGATTCTGAATCAGCTGATCTTTGAGAGTTGCCATTTTGGACTTAGAACCAAAAGGAATCGGGCGTGCATATCGGGCGGGCGGGCGTCAGAGGCGCACGAGGTTGAATCCGGACTCGGCGGCAGCGGCTCCGACACCCCTTCTTTCCTTTCTTAATCAGGCCCTGAAACTCCAAATTTTTACCATCACACTTCTTAGGCTTAGTGTGTTGACTCTGAAATCACCCTTTTCGATACTTACTGAGATAATTTTGTTTCATTAGTCAATGAACATAGACCCTATTGTGCTGTTTGAGATTTTAGGAGAATTAGGTGTCCTGTTTATTAATTTTATTATTATTTTTTTAATTTTATTTATTTGACAGAGAGAGAGACAGTGAGAGAGGGAACACAAGCAGGGGGAGTGGGAGAGGGAGAAGGAGGCTTCCTGTTGAGCAGGGAGCCTGACGCAGGGCTCGATCCCAGGACCCTGGGATCATGACCTGAGCCGAAAGCAGACGCCCAATGACTGAGCCACCCAGGCGCCCCTAGGTGGCCTGTTTAAATGAACAACTAGGGTAGAGTTCTCCTTTGGGTAGAGCAGAAGAGCAGGATAGCAGAACTATGGGACAGAGGGCATAGACCCTATGCAATGAGATCAGTTTGCAGCATCATCCAGTGTTGGATCCTATGAGAGAACATGGCCCCAAGATAGAAATAAGAGTTTGGGGTTCAACTACCTGCACCAATACTTCAAATCCCTATGACTAAGTTTCTTAACTTCCTTAAAACTCAATTTTTCACATCTAGAAATGGGGTTTGTTTCTGTTTTGTACACATGTGTGAAGGCCACAGAAGATAATACCCAAGAAAGTTGTTGCAAACTTCAAAATACAGGTATGGATTTGTTAGCAATAAACCATGGGCAGCATTACAGCATTTGCTACCTTGGGAAGATGGGAGGTGGTTTGGGGGATGTAGATTCTAGAAAAGTAGGCAGGGGTTTTCAGTTAAAAAGCTTCCCTACTTCAGATCTTCATCTGAGATTAATTCTGTTGGAAGACACAGATAATTCAAAACGAGTGAAACAAACCTTTGTAATTGTACAGTTGAGACTCTGTTCTCTAGATAATAAGATTGAGTCACAGAAAGATTAAGTGCAAGCCCAAGTTCCAGTGCATAAAAGACAGTCACACTCATATATCTGTGGCTGAAGCATGTGAAGAACCTGGTCTTGCATATATATATATAATACATATATGTATATTATTTTTTTTCTTTATTGGTTACCTTAGCCATAGTTTTTATTCTTGTCATGGAAAATTTGAAGGCCATCTGGCAAAGACCTATCAATTTACCTCTTGGTTTTCAATGCTGATTCAATACTTTTGCCTAATCTGAACACTAAATAATGCCAACAACATGGCTAGGTGTTGCATTTATGTTGCACTCTGCATTTATAAAGTTTTTTTGCTTTTTCCCACCTAGGTACTACCATGGCATTGAGAAGAAAAAATGTGCCATTCCCTACAAATGGACCTTTTCCTATAAACTCCTCCAATCACCTTCATTCCCAAAAATTTACTCTCATGAAATTCTTTATCATTGACAAACTAATCCCAAGGCTTGGGCTTTTTGTCACAGGACTGACAAAGAACTGACCAGTGGTCAGTTACCCAGCATTTATTGAGGACTTACTATATACTACATAAAGATCCAAGAGGAGCATAAGACACTGCCCTATTCAGGGAGGCAAGCTCTATACTTCACAGAAACGGAAGGCACTATTACATGGGGCAAGCTGAACCCCAGCAGTGACACACTGAGTTCAGTGGAGGGCTAATGGCACTGAATTTAGGAATTCAGGAGAAGGTACCCAGAGTGTTGAAGATGTTCCAAGGAATGTCAAGATTTAAATCAGCAGATTAGAGGAAAGGACAATGTCACTGGCACAGGAAGGGGACAGAGAACAGGGACAGGCAAATCAGATGAATAAGATCGGCAAAGAAGACTGTTCTGGCTGGAATAGAGAGTTGGTTTTGGGAAGTGATGAAAGATAAGGTGGAACAACATTTTAGGATAATGGACCACCATTCCTGCCAAGATGATAAACCAGGACTTGTGTTGTTAGCACTGATGTGTGAACAAAGGATCGGGTTTCAGAGACTGATCATAGAGCTGGAGAAACATCTGAGTTTGACTTTTGGCATCTAAAGCCACCACCTGCAGAACTTGGGCAAGTTATTTGATTTCTCTGAGTCTTGATTTCCTCTAAAGTAAAACTGAATTAATAAAATCTCCTAGGTCCATTATGTAAGTTAAGTAGTTCCTATAATAAAGTAGGTGCTGAAAATGACTTTTTTTGGCCGGTTTTTTTTTTCAGTATTGATTTTATTTTTTGTTTGTTTTTGAATAGCAGTCATGCTGATGCACGATTGCATTTCTTCTTAGCTTCTTATTAATTATCCAAGTCAGAATACTCCTTAAAACAATATGTCTTTTTCTACCTATTCTCATTGCTCTATTAGCTTTCGGAGCCAACATATTCTTCCTGATTATGGATCATGGGCTTGGAATTTCCATTTATTTCTAGTCAGATCTTCTTCACAGATCTTCCTCTGTCACTGTCTGCCTTTGTGGCATTTTTAGAAACTAAAAGCCATAGAAGAAAACTTTATAATGAAAAATGGAATGAAACATGCAAATAATTTTATTTTTATACTTGAAGAGAACAGAGGATTTGATGAGTAGATAAAACTGGCAACTTTAAAAGAGTTTTTTCCCCTTCAACAGAAATATTCCCCTCATTGACCTCCTATGGTGCCTGAAATTCTACCATATGCTCTTCTCCTTAAAGAGCCATGGACCCAGCAGGAGCATATTGATACAATGATGGTTTTCGCGGCATTATATTCCCTGGAAGGGGTAACACATTAACCAGCCAGCACACCAAAAGGATGCATATCGTGTCATCTCATATTGGTCACACTCTCTACTATTCTCTCGTAACATCACAGAGGTGCTTCAAAAGTGGCCAGGATCAAAATAATAGTAATAGCAAATATCTGTAGTACTTATTATATGTCAGGTAGGTGAAATTCTCATGCTAGTTTTTGGAAATGGATACTACCACAACCCTCATTTTACAGTTAAAGAAACCTAGAGAGAGAGAGATGCTAAACTTGCACAGACTAAGTCACAGGGCTGGGATCTGAACTCAGGTCTTTCAGCTCCAAGGGTGATACTTAACCATTATACTACACTATCTTGCTTTGTGTAATGGTTGCTTATTTCCTATTCCATGATTAATAATAGGATTTTTTGGAAGACATGAGGGAAATACAAGTAGATACGATGATAGAATTTTTTTTGCATCTATAGTAAAAGGTTTTGGTTGTATACATGTGTGGCTCCTCCTCTCCCCCAACTTTGGGGATGGGGATTGCCATGCCCTGGCAGCTTCACCCCTGAAGGGCTTTGTAAGGCTGTCAGGGCTACAGCCTCATCAGGGGAAATTAAAGAAGTTGGCTTCTTATGCATGGTCTTGTTCCAAACCTTAAAACTAAATGGCAAAGTGTATTTTCTTGAAGTTTTTACACTACACATCCAAGCTCTCTGCAGCCCTCTGTAGCCTGAATCTTAGAGTGAAATATACACATTCTGTGAAAGTAATTAAACAAGGAGGCCAAAAGACTGAGGTGGTTCTAATACCCTGGTAGCCTACATAAGCAAAGCAAAATGTAAGCCAGACTCAATTCCTATAAATGCCTTAAGGTTAAGAAACCTAAACTTAAAAACTAATGACAAACAGCCAACTAGGTTTTCCCAAATAAAGGAACAGCTTAAGCTATATCCAATCAAATAATTTCCTTGCTTTGCTTCCAAACCTGTTCTATAAAAGCCTTTTTCTTAGCTCCTGCTGGTGGAGCACTCCTAACCATATTTGGTTTGGCACTGCCTAACGAATAGATGTTTGCTCAAATAAACTATTCAAAAATTTAATGTACCTCAGTTTACCTTTTAACAGTCACACTGTACTAAATCTCCTGGAATCTTAATTTTATTAGTAGATACCTGGACAGAGATACCAACATAGAAGAAGATACCAACAATCAAATGTCCCACATCACTCATTGAGGAACTAGAACACAGGTAGGAGAGCTTTGACAGGAGGAGAGACTGATGTTCCAAAGAACATGACAGCACAGAATATTTATGGACTAGAGCACTTAAAGTAGAAAGCGTTCCAAAGACCAGTGGAGAGGCTCGAATATATGGAGGAATTGGGCAGTTTGGCTACATGCTATCTAGAAACTTAATAACCCAAAGTTTGTATGTCAAGAATTATGGAAGGCTGTATCTTCTAGAGATATCACAATAATATTTCCCATTACATTGTTCTGCAGGATGATCTCACTGTTATTTCATCAAGAAACACCCACTTGAACCTGGGTGAGGTGAGTCCAGTGACAGTTGTCCAATAGAATATGTGTGGTAGTGACGCTGAAAACCTAGTGACCATGCTGAGAAGCCCAAGGTACATGGAGTAACCATATATAGGTGCTCCTGTAGATAGCTCTGGCTCCTAGCTAACAGCAAGCAACAAGTCCAGCCATGTAAGTGATCAATCTTGGTAATCTAGGCCAGTAGATCCTTTCAATAACTCCCACCCCACCTGTTGTCTGACTGCAACCACATACGAGGCCCTGAGCAAGAACTGTCCAGTTGAGCTCAGTAAACCCACAGAACCATAGAGATAATAAACTGTTACACTAAGCTGCTAAATTTTGAGGTGGCTTGTTACATAGAAATAGACAACCAAAACAATAATGCAACTGAAGGGGACATAATATAATGCCACACCAGAGTCCTTAATACCTAAGAACTAAGCAGAGAACATTCTAGGGTACTGATACATCAGCATATGACACTTACGGAACCCTCACTAGTCATACTTTTCCCTTGACTGAGGTTCTATGCCTTCACTCCAGTGAAGACCACTGTTCTCACTTAGCACAGGAAGGACTCTTTATGAGATTTTTGGTCTTGTTCTTCTGAATCAATGTATTGCAGATTCAGGCTATAGATCTTCAATCTCCAGGTTCCACTGTAGCTCCTAGGAGAAGCACTTCCTCCTTTGAACCCACCTGACTAGTAATGAAGCCTTATCAGGAGATGGGGAGTAATGGACAAGAGAAAGTTTGAAACTCAACCAAGAGACCAAAAATCCCACTTCCATCTTTGACCAAAATAATAACTTCTGAGCCAGTAAATTATCTCGTGAGTTTCTCTACTTGAAGCTTTATCTTCCAAATTCCTTTCAAGTCTTCTGCAGGTGTGCCATGAAAATTCAAACTAGGAATTTTTGAAACACAGTGGCAAGTGCTATTGTATTTAGGCCACTGGTTATTATCCATGAAGTTATGCTTCTTCTACTCCCTTCTTATTCTCCTATGGGTTTTTTGTTGTTGTTGTTGTTTTTAAAGATTTTATTTATTTGACAGAGAGAGACAGTGAGAGAGGGAACACAAGCAGGTGGAGTGGGAGAGGGAGAAGCAGGCTTCCCATGGAGCGGGGAGCCTGATGCGGGGCTCGATCCCAGGATCCTGGGATCATGATCTGAGCCGAAGGCAGACGCTTAATGACTGAGCCACCCAGGCGCCCCTCTCCTATGGTTCTGATGTGGCTGCTCGCAGCTTGCTATCTGTGTTCTCATTTCTCAGCTGCCTTCTAAGCATGTCTGATAATTTCACTTGTTTAGTTCAATTTATATGTATTTGATCTTTTCCTTCTTTGATTAAATGTCAGTGGTAATTCAGTTAGTAGCACACACACATTAGTAGTACCAGTAAGCTGAAGCCAAAAGCACAGGATATTTTCCCCAGCTTCTTAAACTTCCATTTCTAGATATTATTTTGGGCAAGATCACACTGTAATTCTAAAACTGCCTTTCTTGTTAAAATACAAAAAAATGTGACCTGTGAGGAGAAATAACAGATCCTTCTGGAAGTCATCAATTAATGGAATTCAAAGTGTCCCTGGATACCAGATCCTAAGGTAGCTAAATAAATCACATCATTTAGATACGTAAGAGACTTTAAAAATTACCTACTTGAGTATACTCTGTTATGAAAAGTACATGGTTGAGTGGTCCAGGGGGTAGAGTCCTCGGAAGAGCCTTATTTAGGCATGGTGATTCAAAGTAGAGATGGGCTGTGACAGTCAAAAGACATGGAGGTGTGGCTCCTGTGCTAGACCAAACCTAGAATGAATACAGTTCAGGAGGGCAGGCAGGTATCTGGCTGGTACTTTCCTAGCAGACAAGGCAGGCTTGGTGAGAGTGAGTGGATTGGGGTTGGGTGGGTGGAACTTAACATTTGTGTACTTGATAAATCCCTGCTGCCTCTGCTTTGGTGAAGATGTGAACCTATGCTCATGGCCCTGGAAGAGACTGTCCTTTTTATTAATAGCTGATCTCTGAGGATAGGATACGATTTTCTCATATACCACATCATTCAGTGGCTGTTTCCACCAAGAAGAGTGTCTGTTCCACACAGCTGGGAGGGCATGTAGGGTAGTTCTGTCTTGACATAACTTGTCAGATTTGATTTTTAACCTCTTCATGTGACCTGCCTTTCTTCACAACCAAAATAACACCAAGAAATCTTCTCATAAAATCCATACAGACCTTTAACTCCAAAGTTAAATCTAAAAATTAGATTGCCTGGGGGCGCCTGGGTGGCTCAGTCGTTAAGCGTCTGCCTTCGGCTCAGGTCATGATCCCAGGGTCCGGGGATCGAGCCCCGCATCGGGCTCCCTGCTCAGTGGGAAGCCTGCTTCTCCCTCTCCCACTCCCCCTGCTTGTGTTTCTGCTCTCACTGTGTCTGTCTCTGTCAAATAAATAAATAAAATCTTTAAAAAAAAAAAATAAATAAATAAATAAAAATTAGAGTGCCTGCCAGTACATTGCTTTTACCATGGCGTAATACAGTTTTGTTTTGTTGCATGCACATGTGTGTGTTTCTTTCACTCACCAGTTTACTTATTCTTTACTTGTAATTTGTTCAGCAAATGATTGTAGAGTACCTAATATGTCCTATGCACTCTTTTATACTTTGGGACACTCAATTGAATAACACCAGTCTCATCTATAAGCATACATTGACTGGAGACAAAGAAACAGTAACAATAGAGGCCAGGGGCTGTAAGGGAACACAAGGAGGCGTGCCTAACTCTTCCTGCTTGAGTCTGGAAGCCTTTATAGGGGGGAGCCACCAAAGACAATTTTAAGGAATTTTCCAGGTTGAGAGTCATGTTCCCCAAATGGGGTGCATTCTGGACGAAGAAATGGAAAAATAAAGCGTGCAGTGCATTTGGGGTTTAGGATGGCAAGGGGCAAAGCCCCAGGGTGGAGTGCAAGCTGCATTTAGGCTTTATCCCTGGTCTACCACTTGCTTGCTGTGCAAACTTCGATAAGCCTCTGATGTCTCTATGTATCACTTTTCTCATCTGGCAATGATAATGATATCTGCCTCATAAGGTTGTTCAGCAGATTAAAAAAGATAGCTCATGTCAAGTGCTTAGAGAAGTGTATGACTGCATAAATGCTAGCTATTTTTATAGCTGAAATTAAGGGTCTGATTGGGAAAGAGACAGGGAATGAAACTGAAAGTTAGGAAGGAATAGAACATAAACTTTTCAGACTATGGTATGAAGTTTGGATTTTATTTGTATCCAAAAGCATGTCTTGGAAATGCTTTTAAGTTGGATGATGGCCTGATTAAATACCCATCTATAAAAAGGTTTCTTGATGGTGATATATAGGTAGAAAGACCAATTATGAGATCCCTGCAGAAATGCAAGTCAGATGAATATTTAAACTAGAGACAAGGGAAGTAAAACAGGAGTGTGAATGGATATAAAAGACTGTAAAGACAACCTAGATCATCTAGGGACTATATTGTACATAATAAATAGCCTAAAATAATTGGTATTCTTTTGTTTGCATAACTATGTGGATAGTAATGACATTCCTCAGAAAAGAAAATTCAGGAAAAGAACGAGTTGAAAACAATAGGAGTTGGCTTTCAGATAGGATGGGCTTGAGGTACTTATGGCCTATCAAGGTGGACAGCTATAAACAGATGTCAGGGGTTGAATATTTATTCAACATACATTTGAAATGCAGAATTAGTAATCCTGAGCATAAGTACAGTTAAGCCACAGAAAGCATGAAATAATAAAACTAGAATTTACTGAGTATTTTTTGTATGCTAGGACATAAAGTAATCTTTTTGCATGGATAATCCCATATATTATGCACAATCCCTGAGACAGGAGTTAGATGTTTCCCACTCAACACACAAGGGAAGTTCTTTAATTCCAAGTAACTTGCCAAAGTTGCACAGCTAGCAAGTGGGGACTAGAAACACATCAATTACTATTAGAGTCTTGTGACGGATCCCTCAACATAATTGTGGGTGAAATAAAAATGTATTTTGTTTTAATCTCAAATAAATACAGAGGGACCTTCTAATTTATTTCCCTGTAATACTTAGCATTTGGCTTCCTTCTCAAAATCTATCCTGCCTGTATTCCAAACAGCAGAAAAGATGAAAGAAGGAACTCAAGTATGCCACCCGGGTTTAAAGACACTCTCTAGAAGTTGGACACAACACTTCTGTTTACATCCCATCGGCAGTACTTCAGTCACATGGTATGCCTAGGTGCAAGGGAAGCTGGAAAATGCAATATATATTTTTTCTCCTGGGAAGCTATTGCTCACATAAAAATGTGAAGTTTCATTGGTAAGTATGAATTAGAAAATAAATATTGAAATAAAACTGACAGTCTCTACTGCAGGGGTCTACTACAACAAAATGCAAAGTTAAGAAAACTTAACCGAAGACATCAGCTGGATTCCTGGAGGACCTCAGCATTAAATAGGACAGCTGGACGAAATGAGTTCAAGAAGTATGCTGACTAGGATATGTCTGAGACCTACCATCACTATCATAAATCCATTGATTATATGGATATCTAGGCATAACAGTAGGTAGAGCACACTGAAAAATTAATATTCCTGGTAGGAACTTGGTGCACATCATGCAGACAACTCTGTTGAAGCATGGAGAAATCTGGAGAGGAATCAGAACTAGGTATAAGTTAAAATATCAATTCAGTTCAACTCCCATTTTAAGGACTACTAATAAGCCAGGCATAATGAAAAGGTGATCATTTCCTTATCAAATGTTTGTTCAAATCATAAAAAGGTTTATCTCAGGGTTTCTGTACATAGTGAACTTCCCTAGTGCTCTTAAAATGAACTCAGTTTAAAGACACTGAATTCACAGGCAATTTTCGGAAATACATTAATGAGGCAAGTACCTAAATGTGTACCTAAATCTTGGGCATAGAAAGAAATGAGATTAGTGCAAAGAGAATCATTGCAGGTAAATATTTAGATTTGAAGGGGTGGAACAAGTGTTTCTGAGGGAGTTCCTTTGGGGAGATAGGTTTTCATGTAAGGCACTTACCTTGAATAGTGTCTCATAAGAATACCTAAACAGAATCCTTAAATAGACTTCTGTGTCCTTAATGCTCTTGGTTCTATGCTGAAGCTACTTTTCAAGAGTCTCTACATAATTTTGGAAAAAACAAAACAAAACAAAAAACGTTTGGGAATGATGAAGATGTCTTATCAATTGTGTCACAGACCTGAGAAATATGTGAAAGGAGAACAGAAAGCCTATGCAGGTCATACTGTTTATCAGGTATACATACATATATACCACTCACCCAGAAACAATTACAAATTCAAATGGAATCAGGGATTCAGTTATAGGCTTTGAATCCTTGGGATGTACATACCCACTGTGGCCTTTATAACTCTAACATAGTGTAGCATCCCTCCATTGCCTTTTGCACCAAAGATGACCTGGTCTCATCCTTGGGTCTGAATTCTGTGATTAGAATTTTTGCTGAAATCTAGGAACACTTGTTTACTACAGAAGGCTCCCCACCTTCAATCCTATCCTTCATAGCTGTCCTTTTTGGTTTGGTAAAGCCTGAAATTTCACCACTAGAAAGTTATTGTTTTAGCTTAAACTCAATAGGACAAGATTTCTGGTCATGGAATACAGAACTCTTTTCCCCTATTTACATTTCAAATATCAAAGGAAGGGCTAAACTACCTGAAACTGGTGGAAAAAGAATATAGAAATTCAAATTGTGAGTATATTTCCACTTCCTTGTTTCTATACTGCACCTGATGTTTAGAGAACAACCCCCAAATTCTTTAAAAGCCTCCTCAATAGAGGAGGTAATTTCTTAGCAGGTACATTAAATGTTTGGTTAAATAGTCCTTTTCATTTTTTCATTTCTGGTGATAATGGAAGTTGCAAATATTTAGCTTCAAACTGTCCTCACTGATTCTGAATAAGGCTGGTACTTTTTTTGCTTCTTTGTCCTCACTAATGCTATTTCTTACCTGGATGGCCCTCGATATTTCTTTCTTTCGTGTTTCAACTATGCTTTTATTAAAGTAAACTACACATAATCTCGTATGTATACAGCTCCAGAAATTTTCACTAAAAGATCACACCTATGTAACCACTTCCCAGATTAAAAAAGTAGATCATTAAAGTCCTCTGAAACAAATAATACAATATATGTTAAAAAAAAAAAAGAAGAAGATAGCAGGAGGGGAAGAATGAAGGGGGGGAAATCAGAGCGGGAGACGAACCATGAAGGACGATGGACTCTGAACAACAAACTGAGGGTTCTAGAGGGGAGGGGGGTGGGAGGATGGGTTAGCCTGGTGATGGGTATTAAAGAGGGCACGTTCTGCGTGGAGCACTGGGTGTTATACACAAACAATGAACCATGGGACACTACAGCAAAAACTAATGATGTATGGTGATTAACATAACAATAAAAATTTAGAAAAAAAAAGTGCTCTAGAAACTCCTCTGGTGTTCTTGTATGCAATAGAAGAAGACTTTTCTTCTACCTTCTTAGGTTGTTTTACTGGAGACTGCAAATTAAATTTACAAAAGAAAGACTGACCATTTGCTCTCCTGTGTGTGCTAAACAACTCTCAAGGCAACTGCCAAATGAATCTGGGGCCATCCACTGGAGTTCCCAAATGGTGAGAAATTGGCAAATCGATTATATTGTCCCCTCCCTTCAAGTAAGGGTTCTGAATATGCCTTGATTTGTGTGGACACTGCATCTAGCTCAACCCAAGGTCTTCCCTGTTGCCACATAAACCCGATCACCCCCATTTTGGGGATTAGAGAAACTGAGTACCATGTATGCATACCCTAGTTGAATAGTGATCAAGGTCACATTTTAAGGGTCATGATGTACAAGACTGAGCAAAAGAACATAGCACTGAATGAAGGTTCCATCTCCCCTTTAACCTACAGGCAAAAAGGCTGGTTGAAAGGAAAAAAGGAATATTAAAGCAGCATATTAAATTACTATAAATCAAAACCACTTTGGCCAGGTGGACTAAGCCATGATCCCAGGCTTTAACACATTTGAATGATCAACCACTAGGGCCTATTGCTCCATATGCCACATTAGGGACCCCTACTGAGACACCCAACAGTGTAAAGGCATAAAAGTCATGGGAGACAGCCAATGCCCCTATTCCTAGTGAAGATCTAAGTGCTATGCTGCTGAGAACACCAAACCCCATCATGCCTGGGAGAGGCATTAGCTTCTAGAATTTGCAATGGGATGTCCCACTGGGATGGCTGAGATACTTCACACCCCTGGGTCAGAGGCAACTACTCAGTCTCCACTGGGATCTCATTGTCCTGCTGTAAGCTAGACCTGTTGAAATGCAGTATGCCTGAAATGGAACATACATCATTGAAGGGGGGGGGAAGGTGGGGATCCTGATCTGGCATATCCCATCCCCAGCCCATATCCTCATGCTTGACAGTGATGCGCCCCCCAAGGCCAACACACAAGGTGTGTACAACCAGGTCAAGTTCCTAAGGCTGAAGCCACATTAACATCTAAGGATCAGAACACACATATATATCTTACAGAAGGGAAAGAACTTCTCATACAAATTCCTACTAAGTATTTGTCTTCTTGATCTTTGACTTCTACCATTCCTGTGGTTTTTGGTCATGATATGGTCATCTAACAGAAATACCTTACTACAATGGGTCCACCTGCATACCCAGCAAAGGAATCAATACAACTATTGGGTACGTGGGAAGCTGCCATTCTCTAGCTCATTGAGATTGTGGTTGAAAGTGGTTGTTACCACTTCTGGGACAGAGGCTGAAAGGCACTAGAACAGCACATTAAGGAAGAACAAGCTAGGATTAGTACTCTTAATTCATCTGATGTTACCAATACTGATCCCAACACCAGGCCTGTGACACATACTACCAAAAACATTGGGCATGGGTATTCTTTATCTGTCAATCAAACTACACAGGCAACCCATCAAACTGCTGGCCAGCAGGGTCCTAAAAATACCACCATCAGAGCCATGGGTGGCTATACTCAGATTTGAAATGGATTTGTAGGCCCAAAAAGTTAGGGGTCTTAGGAAAAAGAAAGACAAGACATAGCTTCTTGTCATAAGAAAAGTCATTTTAGGCTCTTGGCCTTCTTGTGATCTATGCATGACCAGCGTGTTTTGCCCAAAGGACATTTCTCAAAGAACTTCCAGGGATATGTTGAAATTGCAGAATTACAGACCTCAGTAGTTAATGATTTTAAGGAAATAAAAGAATGTAAGAACAAACAGCTACAGGTCAGGAGATAGCTTAATTATATTAGGGACAATAAATCAGTGGTGAAATTCTCCTTGCTGATTCAAAAGTAAAGACTGAATACATCATAGAGTTCTCTTTTCAGGATTTAAACCCCTTTGAGTGCTTGAATATCCAACCAATTGGAGTCAGAGAATTAAAGATGCTAATTAACCCTTGTTGGCCCTTGTGACTTTGATCAACTTAGAACTGGACTGTGTCACTTAGAGATGGCTCTTACCCCAGTTGTATGTTGAATTCCCCATCACACAAGCCCATTCATGAATATGCATGCCCCCTTAGTTTAAAACTTCCCCAGTTTTGCTGTCCAAGGAGACACTGCTTTGGGAAATATCCCCGGTGTTCTCTTTTACTTGTTGCAAATAAAACCCTCCCTTTCCTATTTTTGGCTTGGTTGTGTCTTTTGGCTCCACACCCAGCAAGAGGTAAATCCAGTTTCGGAGTGATAGATTCATGTGGCTTACCCCTGGTTAGCACTCATTCACTGCTATGCTGGCAACAGAAAAATCACTCTAAATAAAACAACCCCACTGTACCTGGGAGATGGGATGGGTATCACTGGAACTACACAAGTCTGTCTGTCACATTAAGGGGGGCCAACTGGTTTGACACTGACTGGTCACACCACCTAGGTATTTTTTGGATAGCCCCAAATAGGACCCAGTGGTTGTGTGTCACAAACATTTGACTGTGGCTTCCATCTGGGTGGTTTAGCCACTGCATCCTGAAGTTTTTCTTGGCCACAGGAGAGAATCCACCCAATGGAAACAAAAGCTGCCAACCTCCCTTCTCCTCAAGTCCAGGTGGGCACGTTCTGTCTTCCACTGTCATTTGGCCGCCATCGTTATTCTACTGGCCTGAAGGATATTTCGGCACATCAAAGGCCTTATTAAATTACACGCCCCCCCCCCCCCCCCCCCCCCCCCCCCCCCGTGCGCGCCAGCCTTAAATGATAGCTGACAAAGCTTGTCCTCACGGGATACCGAGATGTATCCCAACATGGGATGGTCTTAAAAACTATCACTGCCTCGGGTGCCTGGGTGGCTCAGTTGGTTAAGCGACTGCCTTCGGCTCAGGTCATGATGCTGGAGTCCCGGGATCGAGTCCCACATCGGGCTCGCTGCTCGGCGGGGAGTCTGCTTCTCCCTCTGACTCTCCTCCCTCTCATGCTCTCTCTCTCAAATAAATAAATAAAATCTTTAAAAAAAAAAAAACTATCACTGCCTTGTGCACCTGTGCCACTGCGAGCAGGACACTGTGCGTTTACACCCCAGCACTCAGCGAATGTAGCATCTTCATTAAATCCATGAGGATAGAGGTGAACACCCTGAGGGATCCGACTCCCAGCCCCTCAGGGGGCTTAACCAATCAGTGGTTTGAATCATGAGACTCTTGGTAAAGAAATCTGTCACTTACTTTGGGAATCATTCTCTGGATACCGTTTTCTCTCGCATGAACCTCCACTGTTGGCCTGAACCTCCACTGTTGGCCTGGCGACTGCCTCAGGTGCAGCCAGGTAGCCACCCAACGAGCCACCTCCATCTGAGGGGACCCCTGGCTCAGCCCGGGAGCATGAGGAGCAAGGGGCGCATAAGGCTAAGAGCAGGTAACGGGGGTTGGAAAGCTGGAGGAGGCCCTGGAGGGGATGAGACTGGTTGACCCGGGATTTGGAACCCTGCAAGCTGGGGGATTCTCACCCACTCCCTGAATTCACAATATACAATCGGTCGGCCGTCCCCACTCGGGAGACCTCTTCCAGTGCGCAGCCGTGAGCGGGCACGTGGTGCTGAGACCCTCTGGGCGCATGCGTATTGGGCCCACTTCCGGCCTCGTTTAAGCTCTCCAGACCCCCAC